AAAAGGTATATGCCCTATTTTGTTTTATGTAGCCCACCACAATGCACAGTAGCACACCGGAAAACTCACATTTTTCAACCAGATGATGCTGTAATGTGTATCGGCTACAGCTTAAACATCATGGACAGGTATGTAAAGCACTTGGAGGACTTGCACTTGGAGGACTTGCAGGGTCCTGAAGAGGGCTGAATTTTAAGGATACTAAAGGCACAGTTAACCTTTAACACTGAATTCCACTAATTGATTATAAGTAGAATTTCAATGACACTCAATCACACTGTACATACCACTAACATCCTAACAAGTGAGATATCGCCAGCTGTAACATCAACTGCTGCAATACTAAATAACAAATTAGAAAGAAAAATGTTTACAATAACAAAAATAACCCCCATAACCTCTTACAAATTACCAAAATATATATAGGGAGGTCTTCCCTATCACCAATCAATGGCTTGCAGCAATCCTCAGGTTCCTTCATGTAAGGGCAAGTTAGAGAAAACGCATTACCTAAGGCAGGATATCCTCCGTTGGCCCACCTCCTAACCTAACTATCCGAACCTGACCTTCCCCACACTACACCCCACCCAGGCACTAGCTTAAACCTTGTTCCCCAAGGAGCTTAGGCTCCAGTGATGTGATCATTGTTTAAAAAGACACAGAACATTTTGTTATTTGGGTTGTTTATGTTTTGTAGTGCACTTGATTATGAAGTATTTTACATATCTGTTTTGTTTGTAATACATTGTCTGCACAGAGTCAGGAAAGAGAAATGGACTTTTTAAGGATTTGATAATAATAATATATATACGATATTGTGCCTGTTAAAACCCAGCATCCCCCATCCCCAGCTCTGGACCTCAAGCTGGGCTTCCCCCCCCCCCCCCAATATAATACCATTTTTCCAGCTGTATTCACTGTGGGCACGTGGGATCCTCTTCCTCCTCTTCTACTGAAGTGAAGTGAGGGAGCTGTACTGTGAAGCACTACTGTGGGACCAAGAGGTGTTTCCGTGCTGCACTGGGCTCACAGGAAGTGGGTTGAATAGTCATGGGTGTCACCACACCCTGAAGGCCAGCGGCAGCTGCTAGAGGGTTCAGAGAGTCTTTGGAGAGCAGCGCTTGACAGGAGTTGAGCACTGTAGTGAAATTTTCATTGTTATGAAAACTGCTAGGCAAGTCATTTTAAGTATTTATATTTTAAAGTGGAGTTGGGTGAGCTTTCTATAAATGTAAAGTACTTCTGGGCTCGGTTTACCTTCATCCCTCATGTGTTCCTACCTAAATGAGGACAGACCTCACTAGCTAAAGTTCTATGTGAACTGGTTTATTACACCAATATATTCAACAGAAAAAAATAAAAATCTCGTATTTTTAATATTGTAAAAAAATAAAAATGATATTACTTGTGCCTTTAAACAGAACTAATGTTTATAAAACTCTGACTTCATCTCCACAGATAGAAAACATCACATATCCAGCGGACTGACTATATGTATCACCATTGCAGTTGCTTCTGTGGTCGGGCTGGCATGCTTGATGTATTATAGAAGTCGCAGGTAAGATGGCATCATCAGGAAACTAAAGAAGGCTTATGATTGGTTCAGCAGGATTAGATACATTTTGATGCATATTTATGGTAAAGTTGGCTCATTCCCATTACCAACCCTAAGGGCAGGTTCACACCATTTTCTGGACCAGATCTGGAACACACTTATTTGCATTTTGCCGTGTTTTTGCCCCGTTTTTGACACTTTTTGATGTGTTCAATTTAAGGTCTTGCTGGGGGACCTCTGCAAGACCTACAGATAGCCAGGAAAAGAGCAGCACAATGCTTGCACATAAGAGACATCAACCTACCACAGTTGTGCTTTTCAGAGCTGCTCAAATGATCATAGCCAGGGACAACCTGGGCAGCAATGCCTCTCCACTTGTCCATCTTCCTATTGTTCTTATATTGTGTAGAAATATGATTTTTTTTAATGTCATATTCCTTTTCTTGAAGCATAGGGTGGAAGAAGTATGAAAATAGAAGATTGCTTCCGTTCTTGCATAAAGTTCAAAATGTTTTTAATTTAAAGGTTGAATTTAAATGATTACAGGATATGGTATATCTTACCGAATGAGTCTATAAGATGCTTGATGATTACAAAATATAGTATATCTTACAGCAGAAGTCTATAAGATGCTTAAGAAATGTATCTTTAGTTAGTAAGTAAAAAATAGTCCCAACAGGTGTTTGTCTGTGAGTGTGGGTGTGGTTATGTCTGTGTGAGGCTGTGTGTCTGTGAATGTGTGTGTTGTGTCTCTTGAAGGAACATCCCCCGTCCTTTATACATGCTCTTACTTTAAAAAAACCTATGTGACGTTTACCTTAAAAGTCGTTCAGATTAGCATAAGGGAGTTCCAAACTTTTGTCCCGAGTCATGTGTTCCTTCAATCCCATTTTGGGCATACCTAACAACTGCTTCAAACTATACTTACCGTAGGTCTGCTTGTCGGGCTTACTGATTGATTACCAATTCTAAACTCAAAGTCACTGGTATAGTTCAAAACTGCATCTCCTTGGATAGATTAAAATATAGAAAATCAATCTAATTTAGGTTTGCACACATACATATATCAATGTCATGGTTTTAGCATATTGCCCATGCCTCGGATCATACAGCTCTGGGCAGGCTTCCACAAGTTCTACAAAGAATTTGGTGTCCACTTCAGCCATCATGGTTCCTATGACTTTGATGCAATTGCAAATTTAAAAAAATTAAAACTCTGGAATTTTGAGACTAATCTGAATTCCTCCTAAAATGTGTATCTCGGCACTTCTGTACAGTATGAGGCACAATACCCCATAATTATCATTGTTCTTAGATGTGAGACATCACAGGGATCTTTGTACTTTTGCATTGAAGGAAGAATTATAAAAAGGAAGATCAGATAATTGTTTTTATTATTGTTTTGTACAGTTTTTGTTTTGCTTCGTTCTATTATGTTATGTTCCAGAAATGTTCAGTTTACTACCAACCGGTACTGAAATTTTTGTTTCTTTTAATTTTATATAAAACAGAAGATACATGCCCATTGCTGGGACAACTATGGAAAGACTATCCTTGAGGAGAAGAGATGGAGGTGTATCGAATGCCTGAACTGTTCTGGACAACAGAAGAGACCTACACACAATTTCACTGCAATGTGGCCTAATGTAAAAAGAGATATTGCCGTCTCACTCATTTGAAGTAAAGTAAAAGGGTGTTTGCAACCCCCCCCAGCTTTCTGATACTCACCTGTCGTAGCCACCAAAAGTACCTGGTTCTTCAGGGTATGGAGGAGCATGTTACCTCCTTCCTTCTGGCAGTGCTCAAGTCTAGCAGCCAATCACTAGAGGTCCATATTACAGTTTTGACAAGTTCTCAGCCCACTGTGCTGCTCTACGAGCTGTGGAAAGCTGACAATTGACAGCAAAGCCAGGGCCGGTTAACAGAGGGGCTACTGGAGCGCTAGGTCCAGGCCCACCGCTGAAAATAGGCCCAGCTGGCCCGGATCACCTCATTATTCCCGATGGCAATCTGGGCCAGCCAGGTAGAACACAATCAGGCAGAGGCGCTGGTGGCTCTCTAATCAGGCATATTAGGTGGCCACTCCACGAAGCTCCAACATGGAGCGAGAGAGCCGCCTCAACTGCTTCCCATCCGACCCACCATCAGCACCAGGCCCATGTTGCTCCTAATCTAGCCCTGAGCAAGGCTCCTGCTGGGAGCTGCTATCAATCAAAAAGGCATGGTTGCACGGGGAAGTGGTGGTTGGACAGACTATGGAAGATACAGGCATGCTGCGCTCCAGCACGGCATCTTGTATTTCCAAGAAGAGAGAGCTGAGAAACAGACTGACCATGCCGACACGGATCAGGAGCCATGCATGGTTTGGTCAGCCTAGAAAAGGGGAAGAAGGGCAACTGGCAAGATCCCCAGTTTTTTATCAGGAAAAAAATAATGAACAGAAAACAGACTACATTTATTAAGACCCACCTGGACTTCGAGACACGGATTAATACATACATATGGGGTAAAATACACTTCAGGAATTCAAAAACATTTGGTAAAAAGGGCTAAAAGTGTCACCAGGCAGTCATGACCACACCAAGGCTTTGCACACTTTTACTGATTCCAGATCTCCTACATACCAGATGTTCTGCAATAAGCCAACAATGTCTGGTCCATGAATTAATTGGCTGATCTAATGTGACGTAATCAGACACTCAACTATGAATACCAATGGAGTGACCCTGCAAAAGTTGGAGTGTCACTTGTCTGAATTTAGTGTTTGCAGCTAGGCTGTCATCAGTGTGAGTTTGTATTGTTATCTTAGTGTGTTCTTAGTGTAATTTCTGGTTGAATGTTCTTCTATATTTATAAATGAGAGTGACTGGGTACAATACCGCATTATGACCATGAGATGGAGCTGAGAATTATAGGAAATTAATACATGTTAGTATGGAGATACAATGTTACATGTACAGTTCTGAATTATGACATTATGCCATTACTAACGTGCATTTATTTCCTATGATCCTCATTGGGTTTTCCTTAATCTCTATCTACTGGAGAACACTCCCCCAGAAGCAAGTGAAAGTCAACAATGCCCTCATTGTTGACGTGTGCCTGCTTCTGGGGAGTGTTCTCCAGTAGATAGAGCAAGAAGATAAGATGTTATGGATTATGAATATTTATTCCACTCCAACCAATCACTAGGAGGTTTATTCCCAGTGATGTGAGTGGGAAAAGGACATAAATATATTCCGGGAGCCCTTCTAGAAGGCTGCTTTGCTTCCCAGGCTTTGCCTGATGAGGCAGAAGATGAAGAAGAGATCCTTTGCCACCCAGGTCTACTGCCTGGGATGAAAAACTGTTACACAGCCATGGACTGGGAAAGGGCCTATGGTAGGACCTAGAAGAAGGGAAGCTGGCTATTAAAGGCAGGGGAATGCTTTCAGGAAAAGTTTGCTCATCTACTGTTGTCTTGTCTTAGCCTAGAGGTACACAAGTGAATATTGCCGGTCTTGGCTTGAAGGCGAACCACTAGCCTGTGAGAAAGGGCTAAAGTTATATTTTTGAGCTGAGGGTATAACTTGTCATTATTCTTGGGTATGCTGTAGTGTTTAACCCTCTCTACCCTGGACATTAAGCAAAGAAAACCCACCGGAAGAGATGACAGAGTGCAGGGCAGTCATTTGGTCACCACCTGTGGGTCAGTGAGAGTTCTGGGTAAGCAGTAAAATAATGGACCAACAGAAAGGCTATCAGCTCCTTAGGGGGTCAGTGCTACACCAATTACAAAGTATATTAGTACTCATCAAAACAGAGAAGTCACAGATCACACTTACACCTTGTTGATACTTATAACATTCATCGGAGGGTTTGGTAAAGGGTCAAATGGATTGTATCTCTTCACTGTGATTAAAAAGACTGGAGGATCGTGAGAGTCATTGGGGCTAGCAGAGCATCTGTAAAAAAATGAGACACAGATGGGACCAGTTCTAAAACATGTGCATAGTGTATTCTTCCAGCAAAAATGCATTTACCTCCATTCTGTGCAAGTTACCAAGATGTTGTGAAAATGGGGCAAAAAGAAATGTTCTAAGTGTAATGTATCTTGTGGTTAAATGTTCTTCAATAGGTTTATTCATACAGAACAGAGTGAATGGGGGAAAACATGAGTAATAATGCGTGTGCAATAGTGTGATGCCGTCCTGAGTCTACGGCTCTTTTTACCTCTTTTTGTCAAGCGCTACCAGTCCAAGGACTGTACCAAACAACAAAAGCACTGCGGTAAGCGAAAGGACAATCACTATCCCAAAGGAGAGGCCGCCGGTATCTTGTGAGAGCGAATGCAGACTCTGCTGAAATGGTTCTGCACAGAATAAAATAAGTTACAGTTAAAGGAAATGTAAATTTAGTTTGCTAAAACACTGTGTACCATAAACAATTGCAATTCTTTTAATAAAATACCTATTTTCACCTTTTTTTTTATCCTTTGTTACTGAGTGTCCATGCCTGTGTAATTTGTGTTCAAAAGACCACTTGTAGTCCCCATTGGAAGCCAATGTGACTGGGTGACAACTCAGGAGAACAATTGGTAGACAAGGACAGAGCCCTTTAAGTAACCCTAAAGGGAAATACCTGAACAAGGGCCTTTATGGCAGGATCACGAGGAATTATTTTAATGAAAGCTGCAAATGTCAAAAGACTGGAAATTAAAAATAAAATCATATTAACATGTGAAAGCTAATATGACACATTTAAGTGATTGGCTTTACATCTACTTCCATGCAGGTTAAACCATTTGCTCTGTTTCATACATATTATCCACATGTGGGAGATAACACGTGTTGTAATCCCGTGCTCCATCTAGAATGTCATACCAAATTGTATTTCCAGTCACAGCCAGAAGGGGGTGTAGAGCTCCATTGTTGTGGATGCAGAATTGCTTTTTCTTGCACTATGGAGCTTTATAAACCTCGTGTAGAATGAAAGGTGACCATAGTCTGAGCATTTCCTGGTATAGTGCCCCATTGCGGGTGTCAGTGGGAGGTATAGTGCCCCATTGCGGGTGTCAGTGTGAGCAATGGCGCCCCATTGCGGGTGTCAGTGGGAGGTATAGTGCCCTATTGTGGGTGTCAGTGGGAGGTATAGTGCCCCATTGTGGGTGTCAGTGGGAGGAATAGTGCCCCATTGCGGGTGTCAGTGGGAGGAATAGTGTCCTATTTTCGGTGTCAGTGGGAGGTATAGTGCCCAATTGTGGGTGTCAGTGGGAGGTATAGTGCCCATTGCGGGTGTCAGTGGGAGGAATAGTGTCCTATTTTCGGTGTCAGTGGGAGGTATAGTGCCCATTGCGGGTGTCAGTGGGAGGAATAGTGTCCTATTTTCGGTGTCAGTGGGAGGTATAGTGCCCATTGCGGGTGTCAGTGGGAGGAATAGTGTCCTATTTTCGGTGTCAGTGGGAGGTATAGTGCCCATTGCGGGTGTCAGTGGGAGGAATAGTGTCCTATTTTCGGTGTCAGTGGGAGGTATAGTGCCCATTGCGGGTGTCAGTGGGAGGAATAGTGTCCTATTTTCGGTGTCAGTGGGAGGTATAGTGCCCATTGCGGGTGTCAGTGGGAGGAATAGTGTCCTATTTTCGGTGTCAGTGGGAGGTATAGTGCCCATTGCGGGTGTCAGTGGGAGGAATAGTGTCCTATTTTCGGTGTCAGTGGGAGGTATAGTGCCCATTGCGGGTGTCAGTGGGAGGAATAGTGTCCTATTTTCGGTGTCAGTGGGAGGTATAGTGCCCATTGCGGGTGTCAGTGGGAGGAATAGTGTCCTATTTTCGGTGTCAGTGGGAGGTATAGTGCCCATTGCGGGTGTCAGTGGGAGGAATAGTGTCCTATTTTCGGTGTCAGTGGGAGGTATAGTGCCCTATTGTGGGTGTCAGTGGGAGGTATAGTGCCGCAAGGGACAGATAGGGGCAAGGAAAGGTTCCCATCTGGCCCATGGACCATAGTTTGGGGACCTCTGGGTTTGAATCTACGTCAGGTTTTTAATGTTTTCCTTTTCCCTATTGTAGGGAATTTCCAGCACTTCCTGTCCTAGACAGAGAGGTCACCAAAACAAGAAGTGAGGAGAAATCTCTACAATGGGGACATGCATTTCTGCCAATTGTTTTGCATTAGAAACTCCTGTAGCATGCATGACGTGAGATCGCTTTTTACCAATATTTTTTCCTGGTGACACAACAGAATAAATAAACAAAACGCACCCCTTCAGAAACCATCACAAAACTAGACAGTGCTTGCTTTGTGTAATTTGGATATACATACTTTTTACTGAAATACATTATATATAACATATGGTAGCACGCTGGTTTTACCTGGGGGTCTATTCATGAAGCTGCCGAAGGATCTGGCCGTAGCTTCGGCCGATCCTTTGGCTAGCTTCGGCCCCAGGACCCCTTCAGTTCAGTAGAACTGAAGGGGTGCTGTACGGGCTATTCACAATAGCCCGTACAGCTCCCGATCATGGCCGAGCGGCTCAGCCGAGCCGAATGCATATGCATCGGCTCGGCTGAGCCGTGCTGTAAGCTGCTTCTGACAGCTGGGCGGAGACAGCCATGATCTTACGGCTGGCTCCGGCCACTTTCAGAGAGATCAGCGTCCCTGGTTAACTGCTAACCAGGGGCACTGATCTCCAAACAGTAAACTCTCCCTGGTGCCCAGGGAGTCTCCTGCTCCCAGCCGCCAAGGAGAGAAACAGGGCTGTGTCTTTTTTTCTTTATTCTGACACGATCGATGTCAGAATAGAAAAAAAAAAAAAAAAGATTTTTCTTTTCCCATTG